CTTTATGGTCTTCCTCACTGGCAGTCTTTTTTTTAAGATTTATTTATTATGTATACAATATTCTGCTTCCATGTATATATACACATCAGAAGAGGGCACCAGATCTCATGGGGGATGGTTGTGAGCCACCATGTGGTTGCTGAGAATTGAACTCATGACCTCTGGAAGAGCAGTCGGTGCTCTTAACCTCTGAGCCATCTCTCCAGCCCCTCACTGGCAGTCTTTATTTCCTTTTTGTTCTTCTCTTTCCTTGCTTCTGGTTTCCAGGCCCAGTTCATGGCTTCTCATGCAATGGTCATGGGGAGGCTTCTGGATCACACTGTCTGGTGTCTAGTCCTGTCCGGGCTTGCTTTGGGATGCACCATAGTCACCCAAAGAGAGTCTGAGTCTGTCTGGATGGGTGTCTCAGACAGCAGCCCTTGTCTTGGAATAGCATAGGCCTGAATACAGACTTCTGCTGCTAGCCCCATGCAGCAGGCTGTCTAGCATGTCACCTCTAGAATGAGTGGCCCTTGACCCTGTCACTGGCTCCTAAGAAATCCTCTGCATTTCCTCAGGCCTTTCAGGGCTCTGCTCCTTTGTTGGGATTTACAGGCTCTCAATCTGGTACTGACTTCCAATCCTGAACTGGCTCACTTCCCTACACTGTCTCCTTTGTCCTTCCCTGCACTACCTGGCTCAGGCACTATTGCCTGAGAAAGCATGATCCTCCTGCCTTCTCCAAATCCCACTGGTCCAGGACCCCTTTCCTGGCTCTGTGCCCTTATCCACTGCTGTCTTGGGGTTCCCTGGTAGCAGTGTCTTCCTTTTTTCTCTGGATTCTTAGCCCTGTACATCCTGTAGGTGTTCAGTAAACTACCCCCAGATTTCTGAGACCTCTCCATCTCATCCCCTGCCTGGAACCCTATTCAAACTAAATCTCCCTCCAGGAGCTACCGATTCTTCCAGATTCCAGGCCTTCTGCTCCTCTGGAGTCATGGGTGGCTTGGTCACAGGGTGCTCTGTGCAGTTTAATCCTTAGTGCCCTCTGCTGCTGGCTTCTTAACCACATCAGCACTTACCAAGTGGGCATTCTGTGTCCTGTGTTGGGGGTCCAGGCCTTTGATGGTTTTGTGTTCTCTAGCTCCCAGAGAGGTAGATATCAAGATTATTGTCTTCATTTTGCCCATCACGATACAAACTCAGAGAGGACCTGGGACCTGTCTGAATCACACAGCTTGTGGTTGGGCAGAGCTGAGGTGGAACTCAGTCCTCCAGAATCAAAGCTGTCTTAAGATACAAGAGTTTGTTGTTTGTCCTGAAAACATGTGTTCCACATCTCTGGTGTCCCCTCAGTGTCTCATCTTGGTGTGCAAGGCATACTGGTGACTCTCCTGAACTCTAGGAAAGGACTTATTAACAGACAGATGGTAATGGGATTCCTGACTCCAGAGGCTGTGACATCAGCCGGGATCCCTGGAAACATGCTGTTTTCCGATCTGGCTTTAGAGTTATGGATTAGAGAGCTGGAGAGGGTGGGGCAGGGAAGGGTTCCCTCAGGTCTGTCCTTCCAGAGTTCCCTAAGTGCCCATCCCCTAAAGGCACTTCCAGCTGCCCTTTATGAACCTTCAACTAAGTTTCTTTAGAAGGCGCCCTTCCCTTCTCTTGCAGGCCACTGTCATATGAAAATGAGCTCCTGCTGTGAAATCCCGTTACCATAGCAACCAGTAGTGTGAGGCCCAAGTCTCCTGCTCCTAGGTGTCTGCACTGTGTGCTTGGAGGGGCTTTTTCTGTGTTTGCTGCCCGGAGAAATTAAATATTCTCCTTTGCTTTCCTATTGTGTAGATATTAAATTCTTTTTGTTTCTTCAAACAGTAACTTCTGGGCACCGATGGTGTCCCAGCAGGTTGTCACCAGGCAGCTGGCACACCATTAGTGATGACCCCAGGGTGATGACCCTGATTTAGGTCACATTTTGAGTGATACCCACTGCTCATGGATAAAAACTGTGCTGCCTCTTGTCTTGGATGCTTGTCAGTTTTCTTCAGCTGCTGTCCACAGACACCACCCAGAACAGGGCACCTCAGAGATGTGAAGGGAAACAAGGATGCTTTTGGCAGTGATCACAAGCTATTAATATCGACCAAGTGTGGCCTGGAAAGATGGGTCAGCAGTTAATAGCACTGGCTACTCTTCCAGAGGACCAGGGTTCAATTCCCAGCACACACTTGGTTCACAGCTGTCTGTAATTCCAGTTCCAGGGGATCCAGCATCCTCATACAGACACACATGCAGGCAAGACACCAATGCACATAAAAAGAAATAAACCTTTAAACAATACTTAAAAAAACAAAACAAGAGAGAGAGAGAGAGAGAGAGAGAGAGAGAGAGAGAGAGAGAGAGAGAGAGAGAACTGTGGGCCAAGCACTTCCAGATGCAGTTTCCTTATTTAATTCTCTACCAAGGGAAGTTAAAAGTATTAATAGTATCCTCATTTTACAGGTAAGAAACTGATGCCCCAGAAGAGTTAACACACAGCAAAGTATATGGTGGAAGGGTCTGTCCTCTGTGGCTAAGGCCCTGTGTGGTGCTGATGGACAATGGAAAGACTATAATTTAAGAATGAAAGGGTGAATTGGAGAGGTGGGGCTTTTCTAAGATTCAAAGCATAGAGCAGTAGTGTTCAACATTGTGTAAGTGTCTTACAGTGGACAGGAAGCTACAGTGAAAAGGAATGTTACATTCAGACTGGCTCTGTTAAATAACCAATTAAACTGGAAAGGACTGGGAGTCCCTAGCAGAGACTGGACATAGAAATGGGGTAAATGTAAACACTAGCTGTCCATTGTGGGTGAGAATGGGCGGTCTACAGCCACATGCTGCACCGTGGATGAGTCACAGGCAGAAATCTGAGGCAGCTACAAGTTGGTATAGTGCTACTCCAGATGCAGGGGGATAGCAGAAGGCCTGCTATGTTACCCGGGCTGGCCCCGAGCTCTGGTTCAAGTGGGCCTCCTGCCTTGGTCTCACTTTTTTTTTTTTTTCTTTTAAGCTGATTGGTTGCATGTTGTGTTCATGCTGTCAGAATTCATCAATCACCATCCCACCCCCACCCCTGTGGCACTGTGGACAGAGCTTGGAATCTCATGCATGTAAACAAAGACTCTACAACTGACCTATACCCTAGACCCAGAATTCACTCATCAGTTTGGGTGTGCCCTTCCCTGTATATATTATATTTTAATAAAATGTACTAAAACAGAAAAGGGGCTTCAGGAAGCCTAACCCTAGGGTGCGGATTCAACACTCCATTCCTTTATAGAAGGGTCACACCTGTCACCTCACTGATTTTTACCTGGAATCTTGGTTTTTTTTTTTTTTTGTGACAGGTAGGAGGTAACATGAGAATGGACTTTCATGTTCTAGAAGGAGTTGGCTTGGGCGGGGGAGAGAGCCAGGGTGAGCTCTGCTTGTGCCCCTTGCACAGCACTGACTCTGTGGGAGCACTCACTCACGTTGGCTTGGGCACTGTCCTCAGTATGCTCTCAGGATGGACCAGAGTGAGCAAGTGAGGGGACGTAGATCTCCACTGGCTAGTTGCCAGGTGTTGGGTCTTCCTGGATGTTGCAGCAGCCCCTGCCCAGACCTCAGCCCTCAGCATCGAGCTGCCAACAAAAGAGCATTGCAAGGTCCGTGCAGGCCTGCAAAGCCCCAGCATGTGCTTTGAGAGCTGCTCTGTTCACACCGCATTTCCATGCTGCTAAAAATACCAGCGTGCCTTATGTAAGACTGCAGGTACTGTGTAGACACCTTATGTAAAAGCACTCCTCAGACCCTGGACAGACAGTCACCTGTCCCCATGACCATGTGGCACAGTCATGAAGCTGGTGGTGGGTTTGCCTGTTAAGGAAGAGAGCTGTCATCAATGCCCTGTCCTGTCAGCAGTGTTTCTGCCTCATTCATATGTTGGTGTGTTTTTGTCGGGTGTGGCCCATCTAGTAGTCATTTGATGCTAGGCTCTGTGAGAGTTGCCCTTCTAGTCCCAAGTCACCGACAATGGATCCTCTGCTTCACCAAGATGTGGCATCTTAGAGTCCTGTGTCCTCCAGGACTCCCTTCCATCATGACTAGGTGACGGTTTGATTTGCCTTAAATGCTCGTGGTGATGGGGACAGCCCATCTCATTGGTTGGCCATGACTTAATAGTTAGGAGAAACAATTAAAACTAAGGCATACATAGCTGGGCTGAAACCAGGGAGAAATTTCCTAGTGCCTGACCTATACATCCCTGGGTCCTGAGGCTTGAAAAGGGGAATCACTGTGGATGCAGTGTGTGTGTGTGTGTGTGTGTGTGTGTGCAGCATGTATGTGGAGGTTAGAGGACAGCTTATGGGAGTTGCTTCTCTCCTGTCATTTGTGTTCTGGTATTGAACTTTTTTAGACTGTCAGGCTTGGTGGTAAGTGCCTTTACCCACTAAGCCATCTTGACAACCCTAGTTGGATTTTTGAAGCAACATTTTGCTTATGTAGCTCAGATTGGCCATGAATTCACAATCCTGCAGCCTCAGTGTCCTAAGTGTTTTGATTACAGCCGTATGCCTCCATGGCATACCTAGCCCTAGGTTCAATCCCCAGCACCATAAGGGGAAGGAACACTAATGTCTGTGTTTATGGGGCAGGCTCTGGGACAGCCTTTCTGCATATCATAAATGCTGGAAAACCATATAGTTTACTGGAAGCATGAACCATATGAGTTTGGAGTTTTGTACCTTGTAGTAATACGATGTCTGAGAGGTAATAGATCTTTATGGCACAACATGTGTATGCCTTATGTGTATGCCTTATGCTTATCCGAGGAAGAGAGGACAAGTGATAAATGTAATCCAGTGCTTTTATAGGAATGTTCAGATAGGGACTGGGCAGATGACTCAGCAGCTAAGAACACTTGCCTAGCATATTCAAAGTCCTGGGTTCCATCTCTAGCAATAAATTACCAGTTAATAACCTATCTCAGGTTCAATTTTGTTCCTCATCACACATGTGCTCCTTCTACTAACATATGCGCACATATATGCATATATGTACAGGAATATAAATACATGTCATATGTGAAAGAAAATAAGAGCTAGCATAATAACTTATCCACAGGTACTGTACACATGTGATACAGGCATACTTGTAGGCAAGACACACATATATGTAAGAAATAAAAAGAATGAAAAATGTATTTTTATATGTGTATGGGAGCCTGCAGGAGTTTATGTGCACCACATATATTCAGGAGCCCTAGGAGGCCAGAAGACATCATCAAGACCTCAGAACTGAAGTTACAGGTGCTTATGAGCTACTGAATGGGTGCCAAGAACTGAATGTGGATTCTCTGTAGAATTAACAAGTGCTGTTAACTACTGAGTCATCTCTTCAGCCCCCAAATTCTCCTTTCTTTCTTTCTTTCTTTCTTTCTTTCTTTCTTTCTTTCTTTCTTTCTTTCTTTCTTTTCTTCCTCCCTCCCTCCCTCCC